TACTTTGTTGCATTACTTTTTTAATTGACATTATTGGAACTGCTTGAAGGTTAAGATGTGTCTTTTGCTGGCAGAGTGGTGGTATTATGCTATAGTCCTCAGCACAAAGACTCTATGATGAACCTTTTCTAAAGACATGTGCTAGCTTTCACTGTGGCCGCTTTACTAAAGCTAAACATTTCAACTCCAGGCTGATCTTTGCAGTTGTTTCTCTGTTCACTTTAAATAAAGGTTTATGGCACATGATGTGACATTTGGTCACTACAGTTTATTATGATTGCTTAAACTTCAGGACAATGGAGCTGTCTATTTGCAAGTACCTTAATGTTTTCCTTTTTTCTTTCTCTAGAGAATTCCGAAATGACTTTCTGGAACTTCTGAGGAGACGCTTTGGTAAACATCTTAAATAGTGTGTACATAACAATTTCATAGTTGTGCATGCTTTTTTCAGGCTCAACAGCGTCACATTTTGTTTTTAGGCACTAAGAGAGTCCACAACAACATTGTCTACAATGAATACATCAGCCATCGAGAGCACATCCATATGAATGCCACACAGTGGGAAACGCTGACTGACTTTACTAAGTGGCTGGGCAGAGAGGGTAAGAAGAGAGTGGAACTAGTCTTCCATGGCTTTATTTCTAGGAGAGAAGTCATTGTCAATTTCTATCTGATTTTATGGGAAACAAGATCTGCAGGGCAATTAGAGAAGCAGGAAGGGAACATACTATTCCACAGTTAAGTTTGTTATATGCCAGTTTTGTCGTTTTACTCTTTTGAAGCTGGGTCCTATATAGTTCAGGCTGCAGTGGAACTTACGGCCATCCTGCCTCTGCTTCCCTGGGTCCTGGGCTTGCAGGTTTTGGATGTGCAGTGGCCAGCTTGAGGACTTCTGACAGTACACTGAAGCATTCTGTATTGGGCACTTTGTACCACATTGACAAATTAGCTGAGAAAGTTTATTTTGACTCGCAGTTTCTGAGAATTCAGTTCATGATCACTCGGGTCCTGTGCTTTTTAGCCTGTAGTGAGGGAGAAGGTCGTGCCAGGGAGCACATGATAGAGATGCAAAGGAGGGCCAGGGGGCTGGGGTAAGATGTTCCCTTCCAGAGCACGGCCTAGGGGCCGTATCCTCCTGCCAGGCCCTACCTGTTAGTCTCTGTCACTTCCCAATAGTGTTATCAGATTGAAGTCCATGAATAGATCAGAGCCTCCAGATCCAACCACTTCACAATGGCTGCAGACCAAGATCTCAACACATGAACTCTGGGTGACAGTTCATATCCAGACCATAATATTTGTATTTTCTTTAAGAGTTATTAGTAGACTGATGACCTGAGATTGATCCTTAGGACACCACTGGAGGAGGAGAGAACCAACTCCTGAAAATTTCTGACCTCCATGTGTGTGTCCGCACACATACATACATGTGCATCACACATACATACATATCTACACCACATACACATGAGTAAAAAAAAAAAGTAATAAAAATTATTTTTAAAAGTTATCAGCAGTTTCTTCCATTCCTTTTTCCTCCTTCACTCCTTCATTTATTTGTTGAGACAGGTTTGCCCTGTACTCCAGTCTACTGTAGAACTCAATAATAGGTATTCCAAGTTGGCCTGGAACGCATGGCTGTCTTGCTTCAGATTCCCAAGTGTTGGGTTTATAGAGTGAACCACTACCACTCAGCTTTATAAGCCTTCCTTAGGAAATGTTTCATTTTCTATCTTGAGGTGATTGTTCAAGTTTGCTTTTTTCCTTTCCCATTTCTGATCTTCATATGATGAAAAATTAGGAAAACAGGAGAAACTTGGTGTTATTTATTCTGAATTAACAGATACTCTGTATTCATTAGGCAGTCAGGACTTTGGTGTAGTTGAACAGTTGTTCCTAAAGTACATCCTTGAGCATGTCTTGTTTAGCTGTTATCTCAGTGTAGCTATATAAGCATGGAAGTGAAAACTCCCTGTGTTTCAGGGCTTTGAATTTGAGGAAACTTGATTGTAGTTACTGAATGAGTAAATGTGCAGAGATGGAACACATTATGCTTGTAGTTTACTTTAGATAAATACAAAGCCATGCTGTTGTTTTGTCCCCCCCCCAGGCTTGTGTAAAGTGGATGAGACACCAAAAGGCTGGTACATTCAGTATATAGACAGAGACCCAGAAACTATTCGCCGGCAATTGGAATTAGAAAAAAAGAAGAAGCAAGATCTTGATGATGAAGAAAAAACTGCTAAATTCATTGAGGAACAGGTGAGACGAGGTCTGGAGGGGAAAGAGCAGGAGACGCCTGTTTTTACAGAATTAAGCCGAGAAAACGATGAAGAAAAAGTTACATTCAATCTGAATAAAGGAGCAGGGAGCTCAGCTGGAGCAACATCATCCAAGTCAAGCTCTTTGGGACCAAGTGCACTGAAGACACTGGGGAGTGCAGCATCAATGAGACGAAAAGAATCTTCACAGAGCTCAGCTCAGCCTGCCAAGAAGAAAAAGAAGTCTGCCCTGGACGAAATCATGGAGCTTGAAGAGGAAAAGAAGAGAACTGCGCGGACAGACTCCTGGCTACAACCTGGAATCATTGTGAAAATTATAACAAAGAAACTTGGAGAGAAATATCACAAGAAAAAGGGTGTGGTTAAGGAAGTGATCGACAGATACACAGCTGTGGTAAAGATGATTGACTCTGGAGACAGGCTGAAACTGGACCAGACTCATTTAGAGACTGTCATTCCAGCACCAGGGAAAAGAATTCTAGTTTTAAATGGTGGCTACAGAGGAAATGAAGGCATCCTAGAATCCATTAATGAAAAGACTTTTTCAGCCACTATAGTCATTGAAACTGGACCTTTAAAAGGACGAAGAGTTGAAGGTATTCAGTATGAAGACATATCTAAACTTGCTTGAGCTTGAAAATTTGTTAACAGTACACTGAAATTGTAAAGCATCAAATTGATGTTAGTCAAGGTACTATGTAACTACTGTTAGGGGATTTTTTTGTATAAAAAATGGATATATTTAAATACTGCTGGATAGTTGTTTGGGTAAATTTATAATGAAATCTAATGTTTTTTATGTGTCAAAACTCATTTGTTCCTTTTTCCTTCATAATACTCCCTTGGTAATTTTTTTTAACCGACATTTAAGAATACTATAGTAAAGTGCTTCATGTAAGATAGTTTGGAAAAAACACCACATTAGAGTCTGTGTGTTTCTAACCAGGCAAGCTTGACCTTAATTCTGATGATCATTGGAGTCACTTATTTTGCTAGGGTAAGACCAGTGAAAGATATCGCTTTATTAATTTTATTTAGTCTGTCTAGATGGTTCAGCAGTAAGAGTACTGACTTTTCTTCTAGAGAACCCACTTTCAATTTGCAGCACCCACATGGTGGCTTACAACCACCTGTAACTCCAGTTCCAGATCCTGTACCCTCTTATGGCCTTTATGAGCATTGCATGACATGCTGTACAGATAGATGTCCATGCCTGCCAAACACCCCCCACACATAAAAAGGAAATCCTTCAGTTGCTTTTGTATCCAATCTTTGGTTTCTCTGGGCTACATTGGAGAAAGAACTGCCCTAGATCATTCATTAGGTCTAAGGGTGCCGTACTAGTGGCCCATAGACTGTGAGAACATACATTCTTTTGTTATGATGTTATCATTTACAAAGTTCATGCTTGAGAATCAGGCAATCAGGTCACAATTAAAAAAAAATTATATATAATATATATATGTATATATATGTAAACATACATACATATATATGTTCACACACATGCACATTTAATAAGATACTGTTTAATTCTATTTAGGGTTTTTTTTTTTCATTTACAGTCTTAAAGAACTATGTTGTGTGTGTGTATGTGTACTACATGTACAGGACAGCACAACTCAGAAGAGGGCATTGGGTCTCCTGGACCTTTAGTTCCAGATGACTGAGCTGACATGTGGATGCTGGGGACTGAACTTGGCCCCCTCTGCAGAAGCAGGAAATGCTCTTCACTGCTACACCAACTCTCCAGCCCTTTGCATTTCCAGTTTTTACCCTACAGAAAACTGACTTAGTTTATAGTCATTTGAAACGTCTCTAAACTCTGAGAAAAAAACCAACCAACCAACCAAACTTGTAACTCAGGTATAATCTCAGCTAAGACTTATTTTTCATTTAAGATAAAATTCACATTTAATTGGTTTAGTGGTAACTCTGTGATTGATAATTGGGCCAAGCTTGTGAACACATAAGACCAAAAGATAGCTACTATGTCTCACAAATAGCAGGTCAATGTTAGTTGGCTGAGATCTCAATTTTTCATACTGTATATAGCTAAATATCCAGTTGTAAGTTCAGGATCCTCCAGAGAATGAATAGGCTTACTTAGGGGAAAAGCTGTTCTTTTCTAATTCCCCCACTAAGTTGTTGGCCTTGTTTGAAATCCAAGGTTGATTATTCATTTAAAATGGAAGACAAATCAACATAATTCTAATCTCAAGAGGGATTACATATGATAGTTATGTTTATAGATGATGAATGTTGAAACATCAGCTTTTAAAGTTTGGTCACCTGAGTTGCATGTATGAGGTTGATTTTATAGAATAGTTTTATGGAACTATTTTAGAACTGTTACCCCAAATTTACTACCCCAAAAGTAGTTCCAGTTTTGGCAATGCTATCCCTACAGCACAGGAGTTCAGTGTAACTCTCTGTTATGAAACAGCTGTGAAGAAATAATGTACCCTGTTTATTGTCAGTATTCACCCAAAGTCTCATAACTCTTGTACAATAACAGCAAGTGTGCGCTTAATCTCAGTGCTGAGGTGACATCCAACAGTAGATGGATTTTCACAGTAAACACAGGTTGGCCTCAGTGGCAGCTTGACTCACTAACCACTTCCTGGGTGTCACCTTGATTAACACACATCATCTCAAAACAAACTTCTGAGACTTCTTTGCAAATATTTATTTTCTTCAGGTGGGTTAGCAGTCCTCTTAGACCACTGCAATATCTGGGTTTATTTTGAATTGCTGGAGCTGAGGAGTACCTGCAAGAAGTGTCAAGGGAAGAAAATGTACACATACAATTTCCAAAACCATAAACCATTAAGGCCGTTTGAGGAAGCTGTAGAGCTGAGGTACAAGGTAATCCTTGTAATGCCCATCAATGAATCCTTTCCCACTGTTGTGCACAAACCAGCAGGGAACATCTGTTCCAAATACTATGTCCGTCCTGTAGTCCTTCTGTAAGCCTCTGAAAGGAAAATGGTGTGTATGCTTAGGGAAAAGACAGCACAGTAACAAGACACAGCTGCAAACCACACAGCTCTTTCCTTTGTTCATTGTGCCTTTCTACTCTCTACCTACCCCTACTCCTTCCCTGCCCCTCAAGTTCAAAGAGGTGTTAGTGCCTGGAGGTTGGTGCTAGAAGAACAAGGAGTAACCAGTGTGTCCTCAGATAATTAAGACAGCCCTCCTAGATGCTGGCCTACAGGGGTTCTTCCAAGGTAACAGTAGCAAATGAATAGTAAATAAAAAGGGAAAGGTTAAATAAAACTCAGTGCTATAAGCTAATCTGTGCTATCTGATGACTCTGAAACTCAATTTATGGATGTTTTATTTAAGGGCGATGACAGCTATTTATAAACAAATTCAAGTCTTTCCCTTGGAAGACAAAGACGCTAATATTTTATGCATATGGCACATTGCCATCATTGAGCCTTGAAAGAATGGAGTGGGGCCCATTTGGTTTCATTGGAAATATCACAGGAGTTTGTGAAAAGGCTCAGTGTTTGCTTTTTGTTGTAGAAAAGATAATCTGCCTATGATGTAAGGCAGTTGCTAAATGGGTCTCACCATTTCTCCATGCTTACCGATGTCCATTAATAACTCACTGTTTTCTGTCTGGTACACCATTTGGGTGGTGTACTCATAATCCACCATTTTAGTGCAGGTGTCCATTGGGGCATATATCATAATTTTGAGATGTAATCATCACTGTAAAGTTACATTTTAATTTTGTGAAAGATAATATCATGTCTGTACTGTTATTTCTAATAAGGAAAATTAACTGCTTTATAAAATATCAAAACAACAAAATTCTTTAAAACATTAAATTAAGCATGAGGGAGACCAGAAGGAGGGGAGAAAAATTCAAAGATTATTATAGTTTATACTCAGAATGCTAAATCCCCACTTTGAATTGAAGCATATGGATGTGATGCATGTAAGAAAACCTAACCCAAAATACACTCAGATTATCCATATTCAAGAAGCCCTTACATAAAAATATGCATGCCTTCTCTGGCACTGTGCTTCCTGGATATTTTATGATCTTCTGGTCAACATATCCAATTATTGGGTTTCTAATTATAGGGCTCTAACATGCAACTGAGAGCACTAGATTAATTCATGTTGGCCTTTCATGATATGTGTGCACTCGCAATCATTATTTGCATTTAATCTGGGCTATTTGACATGTCCTATTGTATATGTATCTATTGTCAGTGACTTGTGGAGTTTGACAGTATTTCAATTGCTTTTCCTTATACAAGGCCTACCTGGTGACAGTCAGCTTATGTCCTTTCACTTCCATGCTTGCCTCTGGTTTTCCTGGATCTTTTCCTGGTCTCTCATTGAAGATATGGATGTTTGGCTCATTCATGAACTGCCCTAATGACACAAAAAGCACAGACATTCATTTACATGGAATCCTAGGCCTGTAATTGCTTTCAAGTGGCAATTTGGTCCCTCTACAGTCTTTATACTTGACGTTACCTTTCTGCCCTTCTGATGACAACAGACAAGATAGGCATTGGAAAGTGTAGCTCAGATCATAGGAATAAGGTTGTTTGAGATGCCACATATTTACACCAAACCTTTCTCAAAATACCTGTGTATTGCTGAGTCTACTTGTCCCAGACCTCCTAAACCAAGTCACCTCTCTTTGGTCACAGAAAAAATGTCAGAGCATAATTCATAACCTGTTTTGACACTTGTCTTGCCACATTAGTGTTACTGGGCAGATAGCCTTGACCATTGCATTTCCTGGTCACCCTGCTGTTTTGCCACTTTCCCCCCAATTTTTTTTTTCCAGACAGGGTTTCTCTGTGTGTAGACCTGGCTGTCTGGGCACTCTGTAGACCAGTCTGGCCTCAAACTCACAGAAATCTGCCTGCCTCTGTCTCCCAAGTGCTGGGATTAAAGGCAAGTACCTTTCCAATTTCTAACTGGAGTTGTCAAAAGTTGCTACCTGCATGTCCAGTGTTTGACATGCTTTACCTAAGAGTCCATGTGCACTGGGTGAAAACTTATTTGTCGGGGGAATGTAGATCCCTAGAAAGTCCACATTAACTGGATGCTTCTTCCACACATGATGTAGCAGAACAGAAAAGAACATCTCCTCATCCAGGGTAAGAGTCACAGATTTTCCTTTCTTCACGGAGATAAGCACCCTATGTAAAAGTCAAAAGAGAACTAGTTTCTAGATGATTCCAGAACAGACATTTTATTAAATGTTATTTTATCTATTTACTGGGTGTGTCTGTGCCCATTCATGTTTCCATGTGTGTGTTCCACAGTACACTAGTGCAGGTCAGAAGAGGACAACTTGCAAGGGTTTGTTCTCTTCATCTACTCTGTGGGTCCTGAGATTGAATTTGGATAATCAGTCTCAACAGCAAGTGCCTTTACATACTGAACCATCTCCTCAGGCCCAGAACAGACTTTTTTTTTTTTTAAAGCAAGTCATTCTCAGACATAACAGAGGCTCTTCATTGAGAGCTTCGCCATATCAGTGTAGTGGAATATTGCACATCTGTAACAATCATTGAGCAGGTCCTAGTGAGAAGACACTCTTGGATATAGTGCAATCATACTGCTTGTAGCTTATTTTTCAATGTAGTTACCTACAGATTTCCATGGACAAATCTGCTTACTGATGCAGCACACACATATTGAGCCCTTACTGTATGCCATATATTGTGGCTTGTCACTAAGACACAGTGAGCTTTGAAAACAATTCCTGGTACCAGGGATAGCATAGTGGATGAGAACGACTTCCTTGAACCTCGACTTCTTGTATTTAAAATGACGACTGTATGTTCTCTCCTTGTGATGAGCCTGGGCTTCTGCAGCCATGTTCCAAGGGCAGATTGGAATCAAGGTGAAATAATACTTGCCTCTGATTCCCAAAACGAGCTGTATCGGACCAGGACAAGCTAGTTGTAGAAGAACCATAGCTCAGGGTGATGGTCTCTGTGCTGATTTCTATTTTCATGTCTTCTTTTTGGAAATAAAATCCCAACTTTCCAAAATAGGTTCTTAGCTTTCCATTCTCTGCCTTTTTGGCACCAATAAGCTGACCATTGATTAAAATCCCTGTAAAACAAAAGAGCCTTTGTCTCTTTGCTTGCCGAATATGTGGGCACCACAGTTTGCTTATAGAATTTGACAAGCTGAGAAAATAATTTTTTCATAATATTTTTCTTTATAAAACCTTATTTTGCAGTTAATGCTTTTATTATAAAATAATTAAAATACCATCAGCTAGCTCATGCTCAAAATACGTATTTTAAATTATAACTGCCTGAAATGATCAATAAATGTAATTTAGTTTTTCACTAATAAAACTTTTAAAACTGTAAAATATCTAATAAGCTGAAAAGGAAAAGAATCCCAGATATTCGCCAGGAAGCATGGCCATCATGTAATTAGTTAATTCAAATATAATCTGCTTTTATCTTACCTAATTCTGGATCAGACACCAGGCTAAGGATTTTTCCAGGTTCTGAATCAATATTGAAACAAATATTTTCTTGGCTTTTCGGTAGGTAAATGATGAAGTGAGGGTCATTTTCCACTAGAAAATATACAAGGGAAATGTAAACAAAATTATAAAAAGGAACATGATTTGTGTTATTTTTTGGGACAGGATCTAACTTTGTAGCCCAGACTGTTGTTGAATTTGTGATGTTCTTGCCTCAGCCTTGGGAATGCAGGATTGCAGGCATGTGTTAGCATTAACCCCTGTTGTCTTCTTTCATCCTTCAAACTATAAAGTTCATTCTAAATGGTCAACAACTACTTGGTTCATTGATTTATGTCAAAACTGGGCACTAGAGGGCATTGTTAAAAGTGTGAAACACTTTGGAAGACAAATATGGTAATTATTTTTCTTCTATATAATTACAGTGTGTCTGTGATGTTTTGAATAAGAATGTCCCCATCACTTAGGTTCATATATTTGAATGCTTAGTCACCAGGGAGTTGCATTACTTGAGAAGGGTTAGGAAGTGTAGCCTTGTTGGAATAGGTGTGGTCTTCTTGGAGGAAGTGTGTTACTGAGGCTGGGCTTTCAAAAGCCAGGCACACACAATCTCTCTCTCTCTCTCTCTCTCTCTCTCTCTCTCTCTCTCTCTCTCTCTCTCTCTCTGTCTTCCTATGGAACCAGTTGTAGAACTCTCAGCTACTTCTGCACTATGTCTGCCTGTGTTCCACTATGCTCCCTGCCATGATTTTAATGGATTAAATCTCTGAAACTGTAAACAAGCTCTCAATTAAATGCTTCCTTTTACAAGAGTTACTAGAACACCAAGACACTTTGCTTGAATTAAATTGTTTTATGGGAGACAATGGCTATTTCTGCCATTCTACTTTACTGAAATGCTATCAGTTAGGTCAGTAAACAATATCCACTCAGTCCTACCATATTGAACTGATGTATTTCTAGGCAAATGGAATGGGACCCATGTTTAAGCTAGTCAGTGTGGCTTTATCTTTTGGTAGGGTAAGAAATAGACTGAAGATCTCCATGCAACTTTATATATTCTTAAAATCCTAAAGTTTATGGGTAAAAACTAGCTAGACTTTGTTGAGTGCCTAGATAGGAGAATCTTGCTTTATAACTACTCTATATCCATTATCCCATATTGGAGGTGATGGGGATAACAGATAATAGTTTGAAATCAGTATAGTCTGATTCAAGGCCAGCCCTTTTGTTGCATCAAACAGTAGACTAGAAATATGGACAAAGCCTTGTAGCCTTCCTTGGAAGATCATTTTGAAATAGGCTGTCTTGTGCTTTTTGCTGCAAAAGCTTTACTGTGCAAAGTAACAGAGTGCATGGCTCACATGCTGGATATCATAGTGTGTCTTGTTCTTGGGAGCCATTCATTGTACAAACCCTGCACACTAATCTGCCACACAGGGTCCCTACTCAGGAGTGTGGCTAAAAGGAACATTATCATCATCAAAATAGAAACAGCAAATCTTCTGGGGCCACAAGTAATACTTTCAGAGATAAGCTGCAGGAAGTGAGACAAAGTGACTTAACATGTTCACCCTAAGTCCTTGCTGTTTCCTTATCACACAAGGATGCTTGGTGTGTGTAGATAAACAATCAGAGTCTCCCCCAAACCCTGCTGTACTGTGATATGAAACCTAGGGCTTTGAACACACTAGGCATGTGTCCTCTCACCGAGTGACATCCTCAGCTGTTCTTTTGTGAGATGAGTTATTGCTATGTGGACCATGTTCACCTCAAACTCAAGGTTCTCTTCTTCTGTCTTCACCTTGAGTGTTGGGATGAGAGGTGCCACCCACCCAGTCTGGGGTTAATGTTTTTTAATCATTTTATGTTTTAATTTTAATTTATTTTTCATTCAGACAGGGTTTCCCTAAATAGCCTTACACCTATGATCTTTCTACCCCAGCTTGGCATTGCCAACCTATGCTACCATGCTGGCTTAACAGTCTTAAGACACTGGTCCAGAAGATTATTTTCTTCTTTTTGAAAACGTATTTATTGTGTGTGTGTGTGGGGGGGGGCCTGTGTCTATGTGGAGCATGCACGTGGAGTTCAGAGGATGAGTTGTGCTAGTCTCGTCTTTCCTACCATGTGGGTTGCAGGATCGAACTCAGGACAGTAGGCTTGTTAGCAAGTGCCTTTATCCTCTGAGCCACCTCACTGGCCCAGCTGAAGATTTTTTTTAAAAAAATATGAGTCTATTCAAGAGATGCTAGACATCTGCACTTGTATTAGCAACAGGAACTGGCCTTCCACTTCCATTTCAAAAAAACCCACATGCTTCTGGGTGTGGGACCCTCCCTTATGGAGAGGCCCAGAAGCACTCTTAGAATGTCTGAAGTCTGTTCTCTAAGAAAGAGAAGGATGCAAAGCACATGCAGACTCCAGGGGCTGCCAGGAAGTAAGTGAAATGACAAAATCAGGGAACCTTATAAACCGGGGTTGGAGGTAAAGGGAAACCTGGGTGAACCCTCAGCTGCATTTACTTTCTGTCATCTTTAACAAGCACTAACTATAGAGGTGACACAACTGAGCAATTGAGTATTTGTCTTCTAGCTTTGCTGTGGGTAGCATTCCTGGTGATAACAGTGCCTAGGTTACTCCTCACAGACTTGAAGACCTTGTTTATTAAAGTCATTGATTCCTCCCTGGGACATACAGAGGTGTCTAATGGATGACCTTATGATGTCACTCCATCCTCAGATGATGCTAACACCTCCTCTTCTGAATGTGCATTTCACAAAGGCCTATAGAGTTTAATTGTATGTTTGTAAACCACAGATTCCTTCACCTTCAATCATTTTATCCCACATATCAATCACTCTTTATTTGCCCTATAAATATCCTCAAGCCCTAGGGGATGTGGCTTTGAGAGCTTTGTCCTCTATCTCCCTATATTAAGCCACAATATGAGTAAACTTTATCTTTTGCAAAGTTGGTCGTTTCGGTAATGGTAAGTGTATGTGGATAAAAAGACAACAGTTTCTGTTAATTCTGGGATGAAGAGAGGAGATGCATTTACCTTTATGTTCTCCAGGTGGCGCCTTTGTCCCACATGTTGAGAGGGAATGGGTCAAAAAGGTTGAGGACAACACAAAGGAGCCTCAGTGCCCAAACTCTCCAAGAAATACATGTTATTGGCTTTCAGATGATCACATTTACTATTTATGCCCCACACATGATGTTATGCAAGAGACAATGAAACATTTGGTTAAATAATTTGATAGTTCCTAGTCAATAATAACATCCACTTACTGAGCAACTAGCAAGTGCTTTACCAAGCAAGGCTGTTCATTAAATGTGAAGTTATGCTCCACCAGTGCATTCCCATGAGTAGAGTATCTCTTTGACTTCAAACGGTTCACTTCATACAGTTGGAAACAGTGCTGGGTATGGATTTGTCCTATGCAAACTCGTATCCTGAGGCCTACCCCTCAAAATGTGATAGCATCTGAACATGGAAACCTTGGGGAGTTCCTTCGGTTCCCATGAGGTTAGAGGATGAGACCCTGATGCTAGGGTTAGCATGCAACTAAGAGAAACCAGAGCCACTTCAGTCCCAGCTATTTAGTTGCAGCAGGTGCAGTCAGCGAATGCATGGAGCTGTTGTCTCTCCATGGAAGGCAGCAATGCCTGTAAATGCCATCTAGTTTCTCAAGACATGGTGATTTTGCTAATTCATGGAAATTCACATGGAGTCCTGATGGGCTGAGAAGGGAGAAATGCCTTACCTCGAATCACATGTGGAGGTGGAGTGGACTCAAGTGGCTTTGCTCCTACTGCAAGCATGGGCATCACCGGTGTCGGGGATGGACTGGCCCACGCTGGGATGGAACCTGAGGCAACCTTGGTGCCATAATACAATTCACCTGTGTAGAAGAACCCACATTCATTAATGTTCAAGATACTCTTCCATAGAAATTGCACTCAATTTAAAGTGTCTGATCTTTGCATCCTCTTCCCCCAACCAAAGGTTCTCTGCTACGGTTTTATTGCCTCTTTCTTTTAAAAAAGTGCAGTGCTAGGTATCAAACCCAGTCTTGATCATGCAAAGTAACCACTCTACTATTGAGCTTCAATCCACCACCTCCTCTTTTTATTCAGAGCCCTCTCTCCTGGTGTTTCCTCTGGCATCACACTGCAGGAGCCTGTGATCCAATTCTTCCAATATCTAGGACTATAAATGGGTCTGCAGTAGAAGGAACTACTCTGTTGGGCTGGGCATAGTGACACATGCCTACAACCATAGCACTCAGGAAGTAGAGACAGGGGGAGCAGGAATTCAAGGTTATCCTTCTAGATAGCTGTTACCATTGAACCCACTGGAAAAAAAAACTCGGATCATTTTAGTGTACACTCTCAAGACTATGCGAGACTCTGCATCAAGGAGGCTAAGGATGAAATCTAATTGATCCAGAGGTCCTCTTAGCCTTGGGATAGAGGCGTGTGTGGATATGTCTGTGTGTATGTATATATGCATATGGGTGCACACATGTGGGGGAGGTCAAGGTTTCCTTGACTTTTGTTTCTTAGGAGCTGTCCACCTCATGATTTGAAACAGGGTTTCTCACCATGACCTGGGGATGGATGATGTATGCAGAGCTGGCTTGCCACTAAACCCCAAGAATTCCCTTGTCTCTACCTCCCTGGTGCTGGAATTAGGAGTGCATGTCACTACACCCCGACTTATAGGTGGGTGCTGGGTATTGAAATCAGGTCCTCATTCTTATAAGACAATAATTTTAGTGACCCAGCCATTTCCCCAGCCTTGTTTTCTAATTCATGCAGGTCCCCTGCTTCCCACTGAAAGGCCCCAGGAACCAAAGCACCAGCTAACAATAGTGTAGTGCTAAGCAAAACTGACTCTAGTGACTCGGTAATGATTCCTTTATTAAACAAAATGTTTGTCTATTCTTTCCTTTCAATTAATATTAGAGAAGGGGATTTGGAGAGATGACTCAACGGTTAAGCATGCTTGCTACTTTTGCAGAGCACCTGAGTTTGTGGTTCCCAGCACCCAAACTAGCAGCTCACAACTGCTTGTAACTCCAGCTACAGGGGATCTGATGGCCTCTTCTGGCCAGCAGGGACACCAACACACACATGCATGCACTTACACAGACACATAATAAAAATAAATCTTATAGAGAGATTAGAGAAGTAACTGTCAAATGATATATCATTAAAGATTTTTTATTTGCTTTTTAAAAAAGTTTTTTTTTATGTTTTATGTGTATGCCTGCATATATGTCTGTCCACATGCATGTTTTGTACTCACACAATCATTAAGAGATTGGATCTCCTGGAACTGGAGATACAAATGGTTTTGAGCCAGCATATAGAAATTAAACCTTCATCCTCTGAAAATGCACCAAGTGCTCTTAACTTCTGTATCATCTTTCAAATCCCTCCTTTACTTGGAGACAGGGTCTTGTTATGAAGCCTAGGCTAGTCATGAATTCACTAGGCAGCTCAGAGTGGCCTGGGTTATCAAATCCTCCTGCGTTGGCCTTTGGAATGCTGGGATTCAGATATTCATAATGTGTCAAATAAACCTGAAGGAACAAAGCTTGAGCACTCATGGACGCAAGCTGGGTGCCAATGGATCAGAGGTGGGAACAGAGGCTTTGGGACTTCAAGATAAGACAAGAAAGCCACTTGTTGACCCACGAGGTCCCAAAGTACTGACCTGAGCAGCAAGAATGGTCCTGCGGTGGTGAGTCAGCCAGCATGCGCTCATCCCCAGCTTCATTCTCAATCACCATGGCAGGAGTGGAGTCACAATATGATGGTCTAGAGACATCTGCAAGATTGTTTTTGTGATTTTCCTTTTGATGGCAGCTGTAGGAGCCAGACTTCTGCATTCAGGAGATAGATTGAATAATATCACTATACACAAAAGGTGAACTTGTGGTCCAAACCTCTCCACTCACCTTTCTGATAATCAGTCAAGACCTGGGTACAGGGTAGGGTGCCTAAGGCAAGAGACAAATGGAACCAGCTTCATGAACCCTAACATTTTACCTAGCTATTTGGTCTCAGAGAAATATTTTTAAAATTACATTTATTTGTTATATGTGTGTATGTGTGTGCATATGTGTGTGTGTGTGTGTGTGTGTGTGTGTGTGTGTGTGTGTGCTCATGTGCCACAGTGCCCTATGGGAAAGTCAGGGAAAACTTGTGGGAGCTGGTTCTCTCCTTCCATCATGTAGGAGCCCAAGATCAAATTCATGTTGGCAAGCACAGTCAAATCCTTTATCTGCTGAGCCATCCTGCTCTCCCCTCAAGGAATTAATTAATTAATTAATTAATTGGAGTCAGGGTTTCTCTGTGTAACAGCTCTGGCTGTCCTGGAACTCACTTTATAGACTAAGCTGTCCTTGAACACACAGAGATCCACCTGACTCTGCCTCTTGAGTGCTAGCATTAAAGGTGTGCACTGCCACTGTCCAGTACCCACAAAGGATTATTTTTAAAAACTTTTTTCAGAACAGTTTTAGGCTTATGGTGAAATTGAGTAAAAGGTACTGAGGGTACTCCATGTATTGCACCCACCCATAGCCTTCTGGTTTACAGAATTCTTTACCAGAGAGGTACACCTGTGACAACAGATGAACATGCATTGACATATAGATTAATAGTTTACACAGGGGTTTACATGTATATGCCATGAATGAGTGGATATAATATACTTATAAGAAGATACAACAGATCTATCTATCATCACAGAGTCACAGAGTCATATAGACTAGCTCCTCTGCCCTAAAATGTTCTATAACCCATCCATCACCTGAAATTCCAGCAACCACTGATCTTTCCACAGGGCTTTAAATATCAATATTTAACTTCCAGAGAAACTTCTCTATATCTTTAGGTGTGGCCAATGTACTTCTGTCTGAGGAACAGGGATATTTCTTTCTTCAAAGCCACAGTTTGTAGCTACATATATTATTTTTTTTAAATAAAATCTTACTGATATCAGGTATTTTCTCTGTGAGTCTAGTTATATGGGGGTTACAATTCTTGTAACTCAGTTCAACAACCTTGGTCCATCTTCCTAAGAATTTGATCTGAGAGGTAAAGTGGGTACTTTTCAATGATCCTCTTGAAACTGGTACATGTGGGCAAGGATGCTCCAATGAGAAGTTTTGTGTTAGAGTTGAAATAAAGCTCGACTGAGAAGCCAGAGATGGCATCAGGATCAAAGAGCTGTTCCTTGGGAGACACCAGTCACAGAGTCATACAATTTTCTTTTACCTGCTTTCTAAAGGAAATGAAAATGGACTATTGACATGTGCAACAACATGGCTAAATCTATCAGGCATCATGCTGAATGAAAATGAAAAAAGGGTTTTATGTGGTTATGTGAATGGACAAAACTAATCAGTGGTGATACATGACAAGATAGTGGCTTTCCCACATGTAGAAAAGAGATCCTCTATAGCTGTGTATCTATAACAGGATGGTCATTACACTGAAGGTGATTTTATAAACATATACTTATATATAATTATCTAAGATATATAATAAATATAAATATATATACACAGATATGTGTGTATTTAAAATGAATGCACTCACCACATCTCACGTGACATTTAAATTTTAAACATTAAAACATTTTATGTGTATAGATGTTTTGTGTGCATGTATGTTTCTTTGTGCCACATGTATACAGTAACCACAGATATCAGAAAATGGCACTGTATCCCCTGGAACTGGAATTACACAAACTTGTTAGCTGTCATGTGGGTGCTCAGAGTTGAACTCAGGTCCTCTGGAAGAGCAGCCAGTGATCTTAACTTCTGAGCCATGTCTCCTGCCCCATATGTTAATAAAAAGAACACAGGTAACACAGCTTTAGTTAAAGTGCTAGGAACCAGTTAGTAATAATCCAATCCCTTCATTTATTTGATACATTTCTTGGTTCCAAATACTTCTTGCTTATGACTTCGAATATTCCATTTGCTGTTTTGTTTATGGGAGTTGTACCCAGAACCTTTGTGTGCTAGGCAAAGGTTTTTGTACTAAGCTAACCCTTGACTTCAGATATTATAGATGGACATTTCCATGTCTGTAGATATCCCTTCTTGCCTTACCTCTCTGCTAGCAGTTGGTTGATTGTGAGATAGGCCCATAGTTTTTTGGTGAAGTTAGGGTCCGCATGCTTGTCTTTTGATAGAAAATCCTCTAGGTCATCCATCTGACTTAAGGTTTCCAAGACCAATTCTGTATTAGCCTGGACAATGGAAGCATCAGTTGGCACCCACAGACAAGAATTACAGTTAACTCATCTGCTGTAAATGCATTTTGAGGTTATACAAGGAAGAGACTAGATAGGTTAAGTGTACAAACTTCAGAGACTAGGGTTGGGTTTGGGAGAAAAAGTGAGGTTTTATAGAATGGCTCAAAAGATGGCAAAGATGTGTCATGCCTTCCCTCTCAACTTCTGCTTCTGTTCCACACACAAGAGACTGGGGTTGCAGGATATTAGCTTGTTAACATAGAGACAATGTATAAAGGGGAACAGTTACCATTAGCTTGTTAACATGGAGACTGAGTAGACTAGGAGACCAGTCAAGGTTTTCTTGCTAACACAGAGACCTAGTGTACTAGGAGACCAATTAGATTTTCAGAATAAACAGGAAAGCACAAGTACCGAAGTCGCAGTAATGATGCTCTGAACTTCAGCCAGTTTGCTTGGATCATATTTTCCTGCCACCACTATCTCAGAACCTCCAAAGTAGTTGTGGAAACTATTTTGAGTGACATCTGTCACTGATGCCTGGGGGTAGTTGAACTGAACATTCCTCAGCAATGGAGTAGAGACCTGGTTGTAAAATTTCTAGAAGTCACAGGAAAGAACAAAAAAATCCATATTTTGTTATTTTCATATGTCTTTGTAGATCTAAAGTATTTTCCCCTGAGGCTTCTCACATACATAGTAGATAACTTAATCTATTTGCATGGATCTTTGGGATGATGGAAATGCCCATGGTCATGAATTCTGGGCTATAAGACAAAATCATGCTGTTGGAAATTACCTACAATTTAAGAGCCAGAATTCCTCCCCCTTTTTGTTATAATCAGAAATGAAAGTTTGTAGGCATTCATAATAAAACTTATCTGGGTTGAAATAACCTGAATTAGAACAGAATATCTTTTGTGTGTCCCCATGCTGCAAAGCTATGCCTGGCATTGGCATCATCTGCTTGTCCATTTAATAAACACCACGAGTCATGAAAGAGGATATAATCTGTTTTCTAGTCTCTCTCAAGTCAGTCATCATGTCTCCTTTCTCTTTCTTTGTGATTGATAACTAAATAAAGAGGCAATTGATACTGAAAGTGTAAAACCCTAGTGGAGCTCTCTGTGGCTTCAGAATGGCAGTTATGTCTGAATAGAGTTCCCTGAGAGGGTGTAAGGAGTTTAGGACAATTCTGAGCTCAGTTCAACTGTCTTCTGAGGGAATCTGGTTTGTGGGAGTGGGGACGATGTTCAGGAAAGGAGCAAAGAAATGCTACCTTGAGCTGAGAGGATGTCATGTCTGCCGAGTTCCCGTAGATCCTCTGGCAGTACCACGGTTTTCATTGGACAGTCTCTTCAAAATCACATAGTCGACATCAAATCCTATCCCCAAACTAAACAAGGAGATGTTATCTTGGATGTTCTGCTTCACATTTTTCTGAATTTTCATACAGGACACAGCAATTTGAGTTCACCCTGAAGTTGGCAATGACAGGAAGGCAAGAAGGACCAGTGAGAAGAGATAAATAGCAATACTTCTGCCAAAACTAAAACTACATTTGCCCTTTGACCCAGTAAGATAAACTTCAGAATTTTTAAAAATAGATCTCACTCATTTGTAATGTGGCGCCTACCCACATTACTTGGGTATAGTGACATTAGAAATAACCTAAACAAGTCACCCATAAGGGACCATGGTTAGCTTGTGGTGCAACTGAGCTGGGAAAGCCTATATAGCCACTCTATGTATTTATACTGAATATTCTAAAAATGCATTCAAAAGTTTTATTAGCACATGTTAATTCGTGTAAAATGGGTTTTGTAATGATATCTTGTACATGCACAGTATGTATTTCAAGAATATTCACCCCCGTATCCACTTTGTGGCTCTTCCCACTCAAGCTTATCTTCTCCTTTTCACTTTCATGTTCAAAAACACCATGTCTTTTTGTTTGTGAGTGTGGGAGAGTGCGTAGTATATTCATGTGTGTACGTTGTTCACATCTAAGACATGCATGCAGAAGCCAGAGGACGACACTGGGTTTCTCCCCCTGTATCCTTCTCCACCTTGTGCCTTGAGACTGGGTCTCTCACTGAACTGGAAACTTGCTATGTTGGCTAGCCAGGCTGTCCTGCAATCTCCCAGAGTCTCCAGTCCTCTGTCCCACACAATGCTGACTTTACAGGGATGAAGATCCATGGCCATGTCCAGTTTTTTTTTTTAAGCAAGGGTTCTGAAGATTTTAACTGGGTGTTTATGGTTGTATAGTAAGTGCTTATAATCCTAAGGCCCCGCACAGTTATCTAACTAAAAAAATTACTTACTTTGTGGGTATTAATGGTTGCCTGCATGCATTGTGTACACTGTATGTGTGCCTAATGACCTCAGAGGCAAAAAAAAAGAGCACTGGATCCTGGAACTGGAGTTAGAGATGGCTGTGAGACACCATATTCGTACTGGGAATCAAACCTAGGTCTTCTGCAAGAGCATGTGCTCTTAACCACTTTGAGCCCACCTCTCCAGCTCCCTCACAGGAATTTTTAAAAGACCAAAATCAAAGTAAATGGACACATGTAGGGTGTCTGTATATACACACTCACACAAATATGTGTATAAAGTAAAACAGGAATGAATTAGTGTCTCAGGAAGCTAGCCAACAGAGACTAACTCCAGTGCAGAAACTGAATGATTAGGAGACAAGAGTAAGAAACAGGCATAATTTTAAAAATATATATTTTTTCTTTCATTTTTATAATTTTATTCAAAATTACATCTAAAAAGCTACAAGATGTGAATGGAGAAAATAGTGGCTCTATCACAAACACATAACAACCCCCTCAGGTTGGTCTCAGTACTAATAGAACTGACTGCTCACCATCCTTTGAAATCCTGGTTGCCATTGTAATAACTGCCTCCCATACTTTTATTTCATTCAGCTGTACTGCACTGGTTAGGCCCCTTCTTGTGTACCTGACAACTCATTCCTTGCATGGCATCTAGCATTCATTATTCCTAATACTTGTCAATATAAAAACACAAATAAAAATAACAGCAGGTAATAGGGAACAGGGAGATACTGAACCCATTTTGTAGATAAGAAAAATGATTTATTTAAAGGTTGCCCAAGCCAGCAGTCATTTCTCCCATGGCAGTTGGAAGGGATGTGAAGAACAATGGAAACTACATTCCTGTGGGAACCGAGATAAATACCTGCCATTCACCACTCCCATCTACCATCTTCCCAGACCTATTGTTGAGGAAATAAATGCATTTCCCAGCATGCACTAGCAGTTCTCACAATACAAATTAGAGCTCAACCTTAGCTACAGAGCCTGTTCTGTGGGAGAGGAACAGAAGCATTCAGAGCAACGCTAATGGCTGATGGCTGGATTAGCACCTGACCATGTGTGGCTGGCTTTATACCCCTGAGGACTTTCTGCCAGTGCAAATTCATTCCCAGACACTTCCCCCCTTTCTGGTTGGTAATACTGCTGAGATGAGATCCTATTCTGTTTTTGCACATTTCTGTATATTTATTTTCTTTAAGTTTTATCTTTTTATTTCTATTTGGATGCCTTTTATCTTGTTTCGGCTCTCATTATGCAACAGCAAATAGTCTGGCACAAAATTTAAA